TATGTGGCTGCGGGGATTTGCCCATCGAGACCGCATTTTCGGGGAAGACCACGACGGCCACGTGATGCTCACTGATCTGCAGTGTTGTTTTGCGCGTGTTTTGGCTGCTCCCAAACCGATCGATACGTACGCCTTCTGAAGGCTTTTCATGCCACTGCGCTATACTAGTGGCTTTCAGCGGAATTGCCTTCCCAACATGGCTAGGAAACAAACGACCAATCATGTATGTGAAGGTAGAAATCACAGGAGAGCAACGGAACGGGAACGTTCGGGGACATTACCTACGCTCTTTCTTTACGCTTTGCCAGGATTCCTGTCCAATGATGTCCATCATCGCCTGTCGAGATCAAACGTGCATGGTTTCAGTGTAGCTTAGCAGACTTGACGAGTGCGTACGACCCCCAGACGACGTAAATCACTTTCCCACAAAGGCAACCCCCACGCCGCCCCCGATGTCGTTTCAACGCTCGCCACTTTTCAACAGATCGATTTTCGCAGTAAATAGCAAATCTCCATTATGTAAGTGGCTGACATGCGTTTCACCTTGACTTTAGGACATTGCCAACGTCTCAAAAAAGGAAAATAGTAAACTCACCAATTCTATCATAATCATCTACACGATGAATTGCAACGAAGATGTCCCACACTGGAACTGCCCTTTGAATGCTGGGCAAAGGTATGAACTGCGCGTTTGAATGAGGAATAAGGGTTTCGAAGAAATCCTCAGTCAGTGGCAGGGCACAGAAAGATAAGAGTTTCCATTCTGGCTCTTGTCAAGTCAGAAAGGTCATTCTCAAGAAAAGTATTCGGATGGTAGCTGAAAAAGATGACAAACGCGGTGACCAAGTCTGGTGAGGTCTCTTAAAATGTAAAGCTATTTCTACTGGTATTTTGTCTAGACTGTAGGCAAAGCCCCCTTTTTGGGCTAGTAATCACTATCGCCTAATTTGCTGCTCAGAAATCCTTTCAGTTGCAACTACTATCTAAGCTAGTAGGAAATTTACGTTTTTTATTTTTATTTGATTCACTTTTTATAATAAATTTAGAGCTATTCGAAGGTCGTCACCTGCACGCAGCAGTAACCGAGTCTGAGAGTTTGTAAAGTGCCCAATTATTTAACTCTTTGATATAAAAATAGGGAAAACTGGAAATGGGAGTAGAGGAATAACACGAGACAGACAAGCGAAATGAAATAGTTCACGAATGGTGAGCCTAGCAGTAACGTGAAAAAAGAAGCAGTCATCTTCTGGGGCAAATCTAATGAATCACTTTTGTTCAGATTGGAGAGAGGACTGTACGATCCGCCACATTTTCTACGTTGTGAAACGCAAAGGCATTTGCAAAAACATAGAATGACATTCATCAAATCATAGACGTCGGCGCATTCTTCGCACTATTTCAAATGCTGTCCCCAAACCCGACGAAACTTGGGAGCCACGTTTACGACCATGGGAGAAGCTGGGTGAAGGCGATGCGCACCGCATGGTTCCGATTAAGCAACGCCTAGCCGGAATAGCTTTGTACGAAACAAATCTTTGACAACTATCGATGTGATCCAATCAATATACAATAGAGATTATACGAGTAAATGCATTAGCTGAAGCGGCTGCCGTTCATCGATGACACAATCACCCGCGTTATCTCTCTATTTCAACAACCCCCTTGTACCCCCATGTGTGCGATACGATCCATCAAGCAAACACAACGAAAAAAATGTAAACAACAGAAACTTCCACGGTAACAAGAAACGGTCGAAATCGACTTTACCCCACACTATCGTCATCTCATCAGTAAAAAGCTTGTCACACTGACACACTCACTCGATTACAATTTGGTTTCGATGCAGTAGTTTCATCCATCGGGATCAATACTGATGTGTGGGAAGTTCCAGAAAAAAAATGGGGACTCATCAATAACTCGTATTACTTCCCAAAGTGAGTTTGCACCTTTGCGTGTCCCTGCACACGGCTGGTTACACAAATAACATCACTCCTGAAGCGCTACAACAATGGGGATTGTGAACAGGACGAGATTTTTCCAATTTTATTTGCCCTACTTTGAAACAATGGCTGACAGGGGAAATAGCTGACACTTCGACAAAAGATTCAATGAATTGTATTGAGCGGACAGCGAATGACATCGGCTATCAAAAAGTCGCCCTGTCGGTTAGTGACCAACGTGGCTGGAGTGTCGCGAGTTGCGTGGGAGCACCGAGGAATGTATGGCAAAGAACTGGGAGCGACTTCCAACTCGAAGCGAAAGTTTATGAGCGGTTACTGCAGTGATCGTTTCCAAGAAGATCCCCATTAGCATGGTTAACAAGGGTCTGAGCAAGAAAGCCAAAGAGATTGCAAAAAGTCACGACTGTCAAGTGAAAGTTGCGTTTTCCAAGCCAGTCCTTAGTACTTTCTCGCCCACAAATTTGTACTAGGCAAACGGAATGAATTCCACGAGCCGTACTTCTCGTAACGCGTAGAAATTGAATACTGCATGGGCATCTTGTGAGCGAGAAGCTTCATTATAACGGTTTGCGAGGAACGGATCTTGGTATAATTGCTGAGGATAATTGCGAAAATTGAGCGGAAA